CCTGGTTAGTTCAACCTCTCTTTTAACTCTTACCGGAATTTGGCCTTTCTTGTTCCCAAATGTCATTTTATCAAAATTAATTACACACTTCTTTATGGTAAATACTCCAACCATAATATGCATGGATCTTCAATGTCAGCCAAGTATACTTTGTGTCTGTCCTTCATGCCCATGAGCGCAATAGTTATCCAGATTGGTCCCCACAACCTTGCATAATGTCCTGTCACACCACAGAGTTTCTGTATGGTTTCTGGTACTTCTTTGTGATCCAGCACCTTGATACTCACAAGGGTTTGCTGAGATGCAAAGTCTATGACAAAGTTTCACTTTTGGCCATTCAGCTTTCCTGTCACATGGACACTATGTGTGCTTGGCATTTTACACCTAGCTGTTTGGACTTTCACTATGGGGGTTGGTGGGCGTCCCTCAGCACCAACCACTACTGGTCTCCCCAAGGCTGGCTTGTTGTTAGTATTCTTCTTACACTGGCTCCTCATATGTCCTTGCTCTCCACAGTTCCAACAATCTTTCTGGGTAGCAGCCTTTCCTGTCGTGGCTTCTTCCCTGTGTTGAAGTTTCCAGCATTGAGCTTTTTTGTGCCGAGGTTTGTTACAGTGCCAGCAAAGTCCCTCAAACCTCCCTGAAAGCTGACCTTTTCTGGCCTTGAATCCTGAGGACTATATCAACCTTGGTACCTCTGAGCTGGACATAACATAGGATTCGAATTCAAGAGCTCTGGCCATTGCATCCTGCATAGTAGAGGGGTGCGCTTGCTTCACTTGTATCTTTAGTTGTGGACTGTACAAGGCATCTACAAACTGATCCCTCAGCAACAGCTTGAGGACATTGGGTGGTGCAGTTGGGTAGGCCTTGTGTGACATACTTTCCAAGTCCTGTGCCTGCTTTTGCAGGCTCTCCCCTTTAGCACGGACTCTCGTCCTGAACCTAGCCCTGTAGACTTTGGACTGATTTTGAGTTCCATACCTGAGTTCTAGAGCAGCTACCAGTTCTCTATAGTTGTGCCTGTCGTCTGCTGACAACAGTCCAAGTATTTCCAGTGGTTGTCCCTTCAGGCTTTCTGCTCCTCAGTCCATCCATTCATTTCTGCCAGGAGCTCAAATTGTGCTCTATATGCTTCCCACGGTGCCTTCCCATCGAATTCCTGTAGCTTCCTTCATACTAGATCACCCCTATTGCTGACACTCGTGTCTGGAATGTGACATCTGACAGGACTGAAGATGTCTGCATTAGGGTTTAGCTGCAGGGTCTGGAAGTAGCTTCCTGTTGTCTGAAGCTGATTAGGTCCATGACTAATAT